CTTTTAAAATTTTATCATAGAACTACATTATATTTATATATTGCCTATCTGCAAAACAAACGGTGAATGGGGAGTTGGCAGGGACTCCTCGAGGATTGCACAGGAGTTCTGTAGGAGTCCATGCATGACTTTCTCCAACAGGACTCCTGCAAGAATTTTTTTGGGACTCCTCATGACTCCATGTTGGACTTTTCACTTTAGAAAGTTCCTGCAAGAGTCATCAGGACTCCTTACGATTCCTGCTGGAGTTTTTCATAAACTTGGGACTTCCGTTGGAGTTTTGCCGGGAGTCTCGACTAGGGTGGTGTAACATCCAAAAAACGGCGAAAAGAAGACGAAGACGCTAATTTCGATTTGTGTGTAGCCAAAACGGCATTAGCTATTGGCGAAATAGAGTTTGAAGATTATCTTCATCATGTAAGACGCGTAGCATATAAGTATATTTTTGAAGTTGATGGAAAAAAGGACGTTTAAACTTATATTACAAGCTTTTTTTTCAATATCATGTCTTAATTGTGCTTTTTCCTTTTGATTAATTATCTTTCTTTCATTAACAACATCTGATTACTTTTATAATATAACAATCTATATTTTTTTCTAAACTAATTGTCTTGCAAAATGGGAGATTTTTTCGTTCATATTTTGGCTTGCAAAATGGGAAATACGAAAATGTATAAAAAGTCAATTAGCTTGCAAACTGGGAAGCGACCGCCAAAAGCATATTATAATCAATCCTTTAAAAGAAAATTTTATACCCCAACGGATCATTTTTTGATTTTATTTAAGACAATTTCTTATGACATTTCGTTTTTCTTATTTTTATCTAAATTTCTCTCTGTGAGTAAGATTTATTCATTCAGAGACTAGAATAGTGCAATGAGCCAATTATTAATTGATCAAAATGACGATTTATTGATTTAAAAGTTTTCTTGTAATCAATTTTTCATCGATATAATTTTTTGAAAATGTTTTGCAGCAAAAACACTACTGCATTGTATAGTTAACGGTTGACTGATTAATGAGTCCCAAACAGTCTTTAATCAATTTTTTACATTAGATGATAGTTTAATCTTTTAGTAATGAACTAAACACATCTTTCTAACATAGTCGATGTGGTTATCCACTATAAATAAGTTGAACGTTGTGTTTAGTGATTTCTTTATCTTTAATGATATTAGCAGGTTGCTAAATATGAGAAAGAAATACGAGTTATTTTTTTCTTTTCTCGTTTTAGATAAACAGACATATCTTTTTCTCTATATTTTTTCTCGCATTGTCTTATGATTGGTTTATATTCAAACAAATATATTTTAGATTTAGAAAAAGAAAAGCGAGTATTGAGACATTTCGACATATAAACTACTTCAAAGAAGGAAATTTAACTTATAATATGGTACGAATGAAGGACAACAGTTTTGATGACAAATGTACAGTTACATTTAACATCAGCAGTTGATTATGATATTTTTTACCATTCCATCGTGGAACGTATTATAATTACCAAAAATAAATCTCAATATAATTCACAATGTGTCTCTCTTATTAGAATAAATATTTGTCAAATATTCCTAAACACTTTTTTTTAACCCTGCTATTGTGGAGACTTTAAATCTCTACTATTTATTGTCTGTTAAAAAAATAAAGGCATGTGAATATGTTTTGAATCTCTCGAAAATGAAATGTGGTAGAGAGTCTGGATTTCCACCGTTGAAAAGAAGAGACTTTGGAGGACATTTTTATACCAGATATTAATTCGAAAATAGTTTTTTTAAAGTAGATTTTTGAGAAGATTCTTGGAAAACCAATTCATAGCTCAAAACCTTCAAGTACGAATATTTTCATGTTTCTTTATGAACAAATAATCCAACGTGTCCTCTTCAAAATGTGAGTTAAGCGAGACCTTAATTTTCAGTAGTTCGGACTTGGTATCTAATTTTCTTGGAGCCTTAGGACTGATATCCAGTGACTTCAAGTAGTCTTAAAATCGGATGTAACATGCATAATTGTCCACACTGAAGTTGATGACAATATTTGCTTTTAGAAAAGAATTCAAAAACGAGGTGAAAACGGACTTTTACCAAGATTAGGGTTTCCAGACTGTTTACACATAATACTAAAAAGTTTCAGAAATCCTTTCGGAAAACCTATTAACAAAAATATGCTTTTTCGATTTTTTCGATCTTATAATCACGTTTAACGAACAACATTCACCATATCCTAAGGTTTCGAACTCGTTCTGATGTTTTTTGAGTGCATAGTGAATTTTTTAATATTAACAGCCTGAAAACCCTAATTTCGATAAAACTCCGTTTTCACCTCATTTTTGAATTCTTTTCTAAAAGCAAACATTGTCATCAACTTCAGCGTGGACAATTATGCATGTTTCATCCGATTTTAAGACTACTTGAAGTCACTGGAACTGTCTGATTTATTATAGCGTTTATTAATCATGGCGAACAATTTTAGATCAAAATTGAATCGTACCTGTATAATGCAAAAGATTTAAGTAGAACATTAAAAGTTCTAATAATTATTAAATATTTCAAAAGAAAATTCTTCTATAAAAATAAAAATATGCCTTTATTAAATATATTTCAACTATAATTTATGATTTAATCTTTTCTTTTTTTTTGTTTTTGAATATCTAAATCACTTTGAATTAATCTATAAAATAAGATTATATTCAACATTCCCATAAATAAAACGGCAGTAATATTAAATACAAGATAATTCCTTGTTAAACGATGACGTTGAATATATAGATTATACATAGCATTTATTAAATTACCAAAACGAAATATAAGAAATGTTAAATAATTTAATGATTTAATAATAAATATTAATTGATATTGTTTATTAAATATTGTTGACCAATTTAATAATCTTCGTGCATGTAAAAATATACTATTAATTTCCATTGATAATGCAAATATTGTATAACCAATATTTCGAGTATATATTAATGAATGTAATATATAGATAATAACAGCTATATGATGAGCAATAATTGGATAATTTTTTGGTGAATATAGTAGACAATCATACATATCATAAAAAAAATAGCCTAATGAAAAACAGAGAAGTGTATAATTAAATTCATTTGTATGTGATAATGGATCTTTAAATATTTCTGATGCTTGATATACAGAAATAAATAATAGTAAACCACATATAGTTGAATGTATAAAACTTAAAAATGTATTCTGATAAATCCATTTAATTTGTCGTTGTGTTTTAAATGATGAATGTTCTAATTTTTCATTAATTAATACTGTTTCATCAATTTTATTTTTTTTTATTCTTATTTGTTTAATACCATATTTAGTCGTGTAATTTTGTATAATAATAAAAAATATAAATGATGGTAGTGTATAAACAATGATCCAAATGGGATCTATTGGTCTATACGGAAATAAATCAGAGTGTTGATAGTAGTGTGCCATTTATTTTTTTTCTCTTTTTTTTCCCCTAGTAGAATAATAATAAAGAATGAAATAGAGAAAGTTTTAGTGAGAAATAAAAAATTTTTTATTTTCTTTTAGTTACTCATTTATACACCTGTACGCGCGTACACATAGAGTATGGATGAAAACAACAAAAAAAAAAAAAAAAAAAGAAGAAAAGTGTTTTCCTTTCGCAAGGAAAACAAAACGAAAAAATAAATCTTTTCATTTCTTTCTTTCTTCTTCGACGTAACAATCATTTATAAAAAAAATATCATTTTATTTCTTATGATTTATCAACACTACTTCTCTATTATTAACTACAGTTGAAGTAAAGTTCTCCATTTTCATTAAAAAAAAATAAAAACAATCTCGACGTCTTAAACGTATGTACATTTGAAATTCTTTGTTGATCACGAATAGGTGAGGGGAAAAAATAATTTCAAATTCACGCATAAATTTTAAAATAAAATCCAAAACAGTTGGAGGAACACTTAATGAATACTTGAAAAATACAAATGCATCTCGCATTTAACTATTACTAAATAGAAATATTTTAAACCCTTTTATACTTAATAAAAGATTTTTTGGATAAAAATATAATTTAATCAGTATTACACGAGAAATAATATGGAATATGTTATTAAATATTAAAATCATTACATGATGTTAAGGTGCACAGAAAGCAGACTTTCCATGAAATTTATTTTCGATTTTTTTTTATACACCATTCGATAGAGGGCATCGAACTGATCACGAATATGTGCTCTTCATTTCTTTTGGAGACTTTTTACCAGACCTAAAACTGGAAAAACTCGAAAGATGTCAAAAACCGAAAAAATGCAAGGTTTCGCATTTTGGTTTTAATGCTTGAAACTAAGTTTTCTAGATTCAACATCAAAAACTGAATCTAGAACAACATATTTCAAGGGTTAAGGCCCGAAACAGGTACGGCTAAAAATCCGGGACCGATTTTGCAAACCGGAACGTCTACTTTCTGTGCATCTTACTAACAAATACATTATGAATAGTGCATGAGATAGTTGTACATTGTAAGAAAAATCAATATTATTTCAATATCAAAATATAGTGCACTGTATTGTGTTATGAGTAAGGATCGTGCGATGAAGTTTTTCCAGCGGTCCTACACAGGTAGGAAAGAGTAAACAAGGAAATCTAGCTTATCAGATAACTCAATTGCCCGCTTAATCGTAGATTTTTTGGATCAAATAGCTAGCTGCACCGAGCAAGTGCCCACTTGCTAGCTACAAGCGGATGATCCAGCGTGAGCACATAATTGAACGATTAGCGTCGAATTCAAATGCATCAGCTAGCTTCAACTAGCTTAAGAGCCATTCCACGTAAGTCACGACCGACATTGGTCAATCGATGTTCTCAAAACTTTTTCAAACTAGGGGGCTCTTGTAGACCAAATAGTTTAATGAACTTTGGTAAAAGGCGCAAATCAAAAAGTTGTGTTGTTGCTGAGATACTGAAATTTTTCGAAAAGTCCCGAAAAACGTGGATTTCACCATCTTGAAAATTTGCCAACTTTAAACTCTTCTAATTCAGTAACAACAGATTGCTTAACCCTGCAGATTTTACCATAAATAGTAGATAGTGTGAACTACAAAACCACGCAACCACAACCTCAAAACATGGTTTTGTTATTTTGTAATAGATGGCGCACTAAGAACCCAAATCCAGAAAACCTTGAATTTTCCTGTAGTACCCATTTGAAACAAAGTCGACTGTGAGACTTTCAACCATATTTCCAAATACATTATATGCCAACGCATATTTGGTAAAAGTTTGGCGGTCCTCGGTGCTCTCGTCTTCAATACAAACGATTTGAAAGTTGCAATTTCGTCTCTTTTGGGCGATTTTAATGAATGATTTTCTCTGTGGAAATGGGGCCATTCTGAAGCTCCTTAGTATGCTGCTGGAGTACACCAGATGTACTATCATAGTCCATGCTGCGATTTGTTTTCCTAAGATGGCTTCGGGACTCGGTTGGGGGCACCGAGTTCTAGAGGCTTGCTTCAATCAATGTATTTCTGCTATAGTATTAAAATTTCATAAAAACCAGTTTGACATGCACTTTTTCACAAGGAATTCAATGGTAGTACTACAACAAGTTATTTCTACTATTAATGCGCTCCTATGTGCGAGTTCCACCGAGGATACCTCTAACAGGTTCCTTCTGATGGATTTTCATATGCCGGTCAGTGGTTTTTGAATAACTCAAGAACGATAGGTGATAGAAACTTATGGGTTTTGTGATTCGATAGCCAAAACTTTAAGCTATCTTTTTATACCTAAAACAAAGTTGAAAGTATTTCTCAATGATCGGTTTCCTAGGAGATCTCTAGAAAACCGTTTCGTAACTCTAAATGACAGACTAGCAATATATTGGCTTTTTTATGAATAAATAGCCTACAATGTCCTCTTCAAAGTGGGAGCCAAGCGAGACTATGATTATGAGTGATTTGGACGTGGTATGCGATTTTCATGGAGCCGCCGTACTGACACTCAGTGCACTGAGTGCTCTCGAATTACGCTCCTGATTAAACTTATTAGATTTGAAATGATTGCAAATCAGAGAGACATGAGGCTTAAGGATGTAATGAGATGGCGATCCATCGATGATTTGATTTAATTTAGATTGTTTTTTATTTTAATTTTGTTGGTGACGTATTTGACGCAGCGATATTTCGTTTCTAAATGTTGGTCGAAAGCTTGTTTTGAATCATGTTTTGTAATTGATCGTTTACTTGCTATTATGTGTAACGAATCTTTTTGGTCGTTTTACTCCAATAGAGACTCGTTTAGATAAATATTCTCCTATAAACCTGATGATCATTAGCTATGAGCTATGTCTAATTGTTTGCTACCAATTTCTTAAACACTGAAGGAATTTTTTACTTGAATCGTTTCATTTTTTGATAATACGGTGAATATATTTTATAAAGAATAATAGAGTTATAGACATATTAGTAAAATAAATTTATTCTACTTCTTTTTTAAATTAACAGCAGCCATAGACTAAACTGAAATCTATTTTATTAAAAAAAAAAAGATCTGACGTTTCGACTTTTCATAGAGTCATTTTCAAAGAATATTACAGAATATTACTGTACTTTACGCATGAAATGTTGTGAAAAGAAAGAAGAATTTTGTCTGTATATATTTTTTGTGTTATTTGTAAACAGTGAGTCAGTAATTATATTATCAGTCCCTTTTGTTTCACTCTTCATAACATTTCTCTATCCGCCTGGATCAATATTCCTTTTGCATTTTAGTTTTACCCATATGCTGTGAACTACAGTCTTTACATTTAACGTTATAAATGACATCAGGCTTCAAGTAATTTGGTATTTTATCCTTAAAATCAAAGAAATTTTGAACTGATATTGGAGGCTTTTCAATAATTGTTAATTGTGAATCTGGTCGAATTTTAGTTGTAAACTTCCGTAAGTCATTTTTAAACATTCTTGTACTATTCTCAACAAAAGGTACTTCAATGAACAATCTTTTCTTTTTCTTATCAGTATCCGTATCAACACACATATCAGATTTGCTATACCATTTACTAATTTTTATCCCAATGAACATTTCAATAAAAGAACTAGGGTAACCATTATTTTGAGCTATTTTGCGAATAATATTCAATTCCTCATGTAATAGTGAATAAGTTGAACAAATATTGATGGCTCT